TATATATATATATATATATATATATATGTATGCATGTATACATTTGATGTCTTTATTAGTTCGTCTATACAGCAATATACATACATATAATAATAATATACATACATAATATATATTGTTTTTCTTGATTTTTTCTTTATTTTTCATCGTTTTTTTCTCTTTTTCCTTCTTTTATTATGATTTTCTTTCAATTATTATTATTTTCCTTTTTTTTTTCTTTTTTTTCCGCAGTTCGTCGGAGCAGCAGTCATACAATTGGTGTAGAATTTGCATCCAAAGTGTTGAATTTAAATGATATGAAAATAAAATTACAAATTTGGGATACCGCCGGTCAAGAAAGATATCGAGCTGTTACAAGAAGTTATTATAGAGGAGCAGCAGGAGCTATTCTTGTTTATGATGTAGCTAAGTAAGAAATATTATTTTATTTATTCTTTATTCTTTTTATTTTATTCGTTCTATTGTTTATTATTCTCCTTTGTTTCGCTGTTACAAGAAGTTAGTATAGAGGAGCAGCAGGAGCTATTCTTGTTTATGATGTAGCTAAGTAAGAAATATTATTCCTTTTTTTTATTTTATTCCTTTTATTTTATTCATTTTATTGTTTATTATTCTCCTTTGTATCGCTGTTACAAGAAGTTGTTATAAGGGAGCAGCAGGAGCTATTCTTATCTATGATGCTGCTAAATATGTTTTTTCTTTATTAATCCCTTTTGTCTAGGTCCTCATCAACACTTGTGTATTTAACTCCTTATTAATCCCGTTTATTTTACTATTTTTTTTAAGTGCTGCATCTGCTGCTGCTGCTGCTGTTCCTGCTGCTGCTGCTGCAGTCGGGAGTCTTACAACCATTTAATAAATTGGTTAGCTGACGCTCGCTCTTTGGCCCGCGCAGATATTTCTATTGCTATTGTTGGTTAGTCTTATTGGTTTATTTATTTATTTTATTTATTTATTTTATTCTTCTTGTTTCTTCTTCTTTTATTCTTTTTCTTCTCACCTTCACTCATTCTCTTCTTTCTTCTCGTTTATTTAATTATAATTAATTATATTTACTTATTTTCTTCGTCTCCTTTGTTTTTTATTTTTTGCATTTTCTTCCTTGTCTCGCTTCTTCGGGTGTTTAGGCAGATATTGTTTTCGTCTTTCTCTTTTTTCCTATCTGCTGTTCTTTCCCCCCCTAGTATCCCAGTGCATGCGCCCTGCTACTTCTGTTGCTGCTGCTGCTGCTGCAGGCAACAAAATAGATGTGAGGGATAAGCGGGCTGTTACATTTTTAGAGGCTTCTCGTTTTGCTCAAGAGAATGGTAAAACATTTTTCCCTCTTTTCTTGTCCTTTTTTTTTTATTTTTTGTTTTATTTTTTTTTTTGTCTATTATGGTCCTTTGTTCTCTTTTGTTGTCCCTTTTATTGACTTTGCTTGTCTTTTGTTGTCTTTGGCTGTCTTACCTATCTTGCTGCTGCTGTTGCTGCTGCTGGTGCAGATGTATTATTTTTAGAAACAAGCGCACTAACGGGAGAGGGGGTGACTGACGTCTTTGTTCGCGTTGCTAGGCTAATCCTCAGCAAGATCCAAGACGGTACTGTTGCTGCGTTTGCTGCTACTGCTGCTGCTGCTTTATAGCCGCATCCTAGCCCACCTACCACTATCAGCCACAGGAGCAACAGCAGCAGTTGCTGCTTCTGTTGCTGCTGCCGATAGTGGTTGGAGAGTATCCACCTGAGCAGGCATTAGCACAGCATGAAGATGATAAGGAAGTCCACCTGCAACAATAGCAGCAGCAAAAGCAGCAGCAGTAATTATGTGGTGTGTGTGCGCAGGTCTTATCGATGGGAATACAATGGTTGCGGGGGGACAGCGCACTTTAGGGACACAACTTACTGAAGGTTTGTTTATTTGTTTATTTTATTTCTTTTTGCTGTTTCCTCCTCCTATGTATACATTAGCAGCAACACCTGCAGCAACAACAACAACAGCAGTAGCAGCTGTGTGCGTGGCTTTCCTGCAGATGATCCCAAGACAAAGTCCAGCTCGTGCTCCTGCTAAGGGCAGTACACTGCAGCAGCAGCAGCAGCAGCAGTTGCTGCTTCTGCAGCATCAGCCACAGCTTCTGCTGTAGGTTCAGCCGCAGCAGCATCACTCGAACAAGAAGACGATGCAGTAGCACGAGCAGCAGCGGCATCAACAACAACACTATCACCAGAAGCAACACTAGAATTAGCAGCAGCACCAGCAACAGCAGCAGCAGAAACAGCAGCAGCAGCAGCAGCTGGTATCTGTTGTTTATATGGTAGGGAATTTTCTGTGAAATGTCTACTCACGCGCCTCAAAGGCAACAAAAGTTTTACTTATTTATATTGTCAAACTTGCTATTTTATTTGCTTTAAACACTTCCTCTTTATATGTATTATTCCTTTTACATATTGTTTCTTATATATAATATATAATATAGGTACTATGTATACACATATATACATATATTACTTATGTGTGGCTGTTGCTGCTGTTGTTGCTGCTGCAACGGAGTCAGCAAGGCAAAAAAAACAGTTAAACCGTAAACACTAGGCATCAAAAGTCTTCTCCTAGCCTGCTGCTCCACACTGGCCCCAGGGGAAGGTGCAGCAACCGCTGCATGGTGCAGCTGCGCTTGTTGCAGCAGCAGAACCCTGCGGCTAAGTAGAGGCAGAGAGGGAGGGACAATACAGAAGGGCAGGTAAAGAAGAAACAATAAAAAGGAGGCGTAGACAAGAAATAGACAGGCAATTAGGAAATAAAAAGGAGAGGATAAAAAGGCAACAAATAATATGACAATATAAACGGAGAAGAGACAAAAAAGACAACAGCAAAGGAGGCAATAAGTCATCTGCTCTCGTCACTGCAGCACCAGACAGCGTGCTGTATCCCGTGGGCACTCATGATGCAACAGCAGCAGCACAGCAGTGGCAGCACTGCAACCCACCAGAAAAGCGGCGGCAACAGCAGCAGCAACAGCAGCAGCGCAGGCACAGCAACCAGAGGAACAGCAGCGCAGGAACACCAACCACCTCCAGCAGCAGCAACAGCAAACCAACAACTGCAGCAGCATAGCAACAGCAACATATGTTGCCCAGTGGTCTATCTGTGTTATAGCTGGAGCAGCCAACCGCATGCGCTGATAGCTCAGTTGGGAGAGCGTTAGACTGAAGATCTAAAGGTCCCTGGTTCGATCCCGGGTCAGCGCGTCCTAACTGACTAAACTATATTAAATTGATTGAATTGATTACAATTAATTCGATCAACTCAGTTTTATTAGTTAGAATTTACCTTGGCAACTCTCTCCTAGTACAAACTAGTCCTATAAAAATAAAAAATTCAAGAAAAACTACATATACGCATATGCTGAGGTCTGTTGGCAACAAAAGCTGTTTATGCTGCCGCTAGAGCTGCGGCAACTGCTGCTCGCCCTAACTGTTGCCAACCCCCCGCTGCAACGGCCAGCTGCAACAGAAGCAGCGGCGGCTGCAGCAGCAGAAGGGGAGTAAGCAGTAGCAATGCCAGCCCCATCGCTAACAGCAGCACAAGCAGCAGCAACAGCAGCAGCAACAGCAGCAGCAGAAGCATCACCACAAGTTGGATGCAAAGCATTTGAATTCAAAATGGTAAACAGCAGCAAACTGTTTGGAGACAAAGCCTCCTCAGCTGCTGCCAGCGTTGCCTGCAGCCGCAGCAGCGCCATATTAAAAATACAAAAATTTTGCTGCTGCTGCATGCATGCTGCTGTACAGCAGCAGCATGAGCAGCAGCAGGAGCAGGAGCAGAAGCAAGACCATCTGTGATGACTGTTTGCTGTAGCATCCCTACAGCTGTTTCTCAGCTGCTGCGCCTCGCACAGAAGCAGAAACAACAACATGCTGCTGCTGCTGCTACTACTACAGCTCCTGCCTCTGCTGCTGCTGCTTCTGCTACTGGTGCTGACTTCGATATGCTCTATGCTACCCGGAGCTAGCTTGAGCAGTCTCTTGTTGCGTAAGAGGAGACACTTCTGCTGCTGTTGCTTCTGTTGCAACGTTGCTGGTGTCATTTTGTCTCTTTGGAGACAGCAGCTGTCCCTGTTCTTCTTTGGCATGCGATGATGAGAGCCCCCCCTCCGCTGCTGCTGCTGCAGTCACAGGAGCAGCTGCTGTTGCTGGTGCTGCTGCTGTTGCCTCATTGTCTGTCGGAGCTTTGGTAACTCCCGGTGCTTCTTCTGAGGGTGCCTCGGCTGCCGCCGGTGTTGCTGGTGCTGCAGGTTGTGCTGGTGCTGCGGCTGCTGTTGGTGGTGCTGCTGTTGGTGGTGCTGCTATTGGTGGTGCAGCCGGCACTGCTGCTTCTGGCGCCGCTGCTGTTGGTGGAGATGCTGGTACTGCTGCTGTTGACGGTGCTGCTGCTGGTGGTGCTGCCGCTGATGGTGCTGCTGTTGCTCCTGATGGTTCTGCTGCCGCTGGAGCAGCTGCTGCTACAGCAGGTGTATCTTCTGTTGCAAGTGTATGTTCTGCCGCAGGTGTTTGTTCTGCTTCAGGTATCTCTTCTGCTGCATGTGTATGTTCTGTTGCCTGTGTATCCTCTGCTGCAGGTGTGTGTTCTGCTGCAGGTGTATGTTCTGGTGCAGAAGCACCTTCTTCTGCAGTTGCTTGTTCTGCTGCTCCTGCTGCTGCTACTGTTGCTGCTGCACCATATTGATCAGGAATTTGTATTTTATTTTGCTTCATTTTTTCTCTCTGTTTTTTCAATCTTTCTTCTACCCATTTTTGTTCTACGCCTTTTTCACAAAGACTCCGCAAGTCCATTATAAAACGTTCTACAATGGATCTCCGTAACCTGGAGGTGCCCTTGCGGCCCCCCTTTCCTGCTGCTCCCTTTTTGTTGCTCCCCCGGGAAGCTGGCAAGGGCAGCGCACTGCTGTCGGGGTTGTAAGAAACAACAGCAGCAGACAGACGGCCCCCTCTTCCCGCTGCGGCTGCTGCTTCTGCTGCTGCCTCTGCTGTGGAGCTTGCGCCTGATAAGCGGCTCTTCTTTCTTTCCTGTCTCCTCTGCCGCTTTAACTGCTCGAGTTTTACTTGTGTCTCCATTTCCCTAAGAATAAAGATAAATTATCAGCAAGTAGATTAATGCAGTTAATAATGATTAGCATTCAATATGTATTATTATAGTGATGTTTAATATCTCATTACTATTATTAGTACTAATATTAGTACTACTACTATTAGTAGTAATACGACTACTATTATTATTATTTATATACGTATATGATATACGTATAAAGATGTGCTGACATACCATAGACAGACGAGCATAGCATCAAAGAATTCTGGAGAGAAGTTTTGTAAGACGCAATCCTTGACCTTATGATTACTCTTCCCTCCCTTTTCATTATTATCATTATAGTCATCATTATTCTTATTTTTATTTTTACTACTATATTTATTAACAGATCTCTTAAAGAAAACTTTTGTCTTAGAATAACTCCAATGCCCATCTAACAAATCCCACGCACTGATCGCTCCCAACTTCTCCGCGCTCAAACCGCGAGCTGCTTGCAAGTCCGACTTGCTGTAGTATGTTAAGAAAGCCTCTATAAACATATAACACACATACATATAATATATAATGTATAATATACACTACTTATATGTTATATATATAAAGGATGCATTTATGGGAACAAATATATGTTTAAATGGGCATATACATGTGGTGTTATATGTTTGTATGTGTATATGTTTGAGCCTTTGTACATATATACATATATACATGTATATAGAACTATACGTATGCCGCTACTACTACTCGTACTCGTACAACAACAACAACTGCTGCTGCTGCTGTGTCTTACGGGGTTACCTACCGGGATCTGTCCCGTCCATAACAAAGAATCGTAGGCGAGAAGCAGTAATTGCTGGGCTCCATAGGAGACTTAGCTTTGCTGCTAAGCATCCCCTCTTCCCCACATCCCATGCTTGATGGTAACCTAATCTTAAAGAACTTAAAGGGGGAATATTATCCCCTGCAGGCTGCCAAGCGCTCTCACGAATCTCCCTATGGCACAAACCCTAAACCCTAATTCTCGATACTCCACGCGGGGAATGCAATTCATACGGTTAAGAGGGATAGGTATTAGCGTCTTAATGTCTAATCAACGACCAGAGGGTAACACCACCGCTACATAGTCTGCTAGAGTTTAAGGTTTAGGGTTTAGGGATTAGCGTCTAGGGTTTAGGGTACAGCTCACGCAATCTCTTCTGCTGTGATGAGAGGCTCATCATCCGCCACTTGCAGATGATCCGCCACCTCGTCGCTGCAAAACACAAGACCAACTCTCAGCTGCCCGCATGATCGGTTAGCTACTTAGCTACCTAGCTAGCTAGCTGCCTCAGCAGGGGCACATACACCGCGAATTGAAGGAAAGCCTCCTGTGCAGCCGACTATCTAGATGCTTAGCTGGCTAGCTGGCGAGCTAGTGGTAGCCAGCTAACTACACTCAGGCCTCAAGCTGTGAAGCCGTTGTTCCTTTGACGACTAACTGCCTCTACTATACCAACGGCACCAGCGGCGTAGCAGCAGCAGCAGCAGCAGTGGTTGAATACCTGATATCTTGTTTGCGCTGTCTGTCTCTCCTTCGAATTCTTTGTCTAAATTTCCCCCCATAATTCTCAGAGGCGGCAGCAGCTAAATCCGCGCTGTCGCTGTGGCCCACAGGCTCCTCTGCAGCAGCAGCAGCAGCAACAGAAACCGCCAACAACAGCATTAATTGACGTCGCCGTAGCAACATCGAGACAAAAACACAAAAGCAGCACCAGGAGCTGCTGCAGCCAACAGCAGGAAAGGGCAACAGTTGCAGCAGCAACTGCAGAGGGGACAGACGCAGCTGGCCAACGAACAGCAGCAGCAGCAGCAGCAGAAGCAGTAGCAGAAGAGAGGAACTCACCGGCAAAGACATCTTCAATTTGCTGTGAGTCGATCTGCTGCAGCTGCTCCTCCCAATCCTCCCCAAGAAGTTTCTGGTAGAATCCGCTTAGGTCCTTAGAAGGCGCAGTCTGTGGCTGTACAACAGCAGCAGCAACAGCAACAGCAGCAACAGCAGCAGCAGGAACAGCAACAGCAGCAGCAGCAACAGCAGCAGCAACAGCAGCAGCAGCAACAGCAACAGCAACAACAGCAGCAGCACCGCACCAGCAACAGCAGCAGCAGCACCGCAGCAGCAACAACAACAAGGATTGCAGCAGTGAGGGGAAAACCTTCAAGGAGCAACGAACTGTCAGACCAAAATAGCAGAGACATGATGGACGCATCAAACGCCGGAACAGCGACAGCAGCAGCAGTAGAAGCCGAAGCAGCAGCAGCAGCACAGCGAGTTCGCTTTTCCTAATAAGCCATGACAGTATACATTGCTTGTTATTCCCCTTAGCTGCAGCCAGCCCTAAACCCTAGAACCTAGCTTACGGTGTCTAGGGTTTGTGTGTGATTGTCTGCTGGGGCTGGTGCTGCTGCTGCTGCTGCTGCTGCTGCTGATTGTCTCCTTATGAGGGCGGAAGATTCCAAAGACTTTAAAGCAGCACCAACTGCCTCTTGGCTTGGCTTAGGGATCTCCGTATACACTCGAGACCCCACAGGCTGCAGACGCCCTGTGCTTCCTCGTGTTAACGTCCCGTCAACCAGTGAGCTGCTGCTGCTGCTGCTGCCGCCGCTGCTGCCGCTGCTGTTGTTGTTGTTGCTGCTGCTGTTATCTTCAAACTTGACTGTCCGTTGGCTGCGCAGCGGATGCAGAGAGGACGAAGCCGGAGCTGTTGCGGCCACCGCCGGATGCTCCGGCTGCTCTGCCTGCTTCTTCTGCTGCTGCTCCTGCTGATCCTGTTGCCGCTGCTCCTCCTGTTCCTGATCCTGCACTTGTTGCTGCATCTCCTGCTGCTTTACTTCCTCATCTTTGTGGTTCTCTTTGGCTGGGTGCTCCTGCTGCTCCTGCTGCTCCTGCTGCTGCTCGACTATTGTTGTGGATCCCCTCCTCAATGGCAGGGCTTCCGCTGCTGCAGACTCCATCGCGACTCCCCTCGTGCCCTTACATTTCTGATAAAATTCTGGCTGCTGCTGCTTCTGCTGCAGTGCTGCAGCGCTCCGAGTGTAGCAATGAACCCAGCGCAGCAGCGCCTCTGTGTCGCCTTAGTGTTATTTGTTTTAAGACAACAGATAAGGAAAGAGTTCTCTTTTTCTGCTTGCAGCTCAGCCCAGTTATAGTCCTATTAAGACGACAAACGCCGAGGGCCCCATATGCTGTTGCTGCAGCATCAGCAGCAGCAGCCGAGGAGCAGCAGCGGCAGCAGCTGCAATGATGTAGCGGTCCGTTGGGATGGATCTTTCCTCCAGTCTGCCTACAGTTTTATGTTCATAGGTTTAAAATGCGTTGATTTCGTTGGAATACCATATACGGTAATAACAAATGAAGATGAAAGCATTTAATTTAACTGCAGCAGCAGCATAAGCGGACGGACAGCCGGCTGCCTCTGCTGCACCAGTGGTTAGACAGGTACGTGAAGTCTAGAGAAAGCCTCTTTCTTAGTTAAAATTATAAAACTCAGATAACTTTATTTATGTTTAATGCAAAAACTGTCGTGTGAATGCACCCAGTGCTCCCTGCAATGCTGGCGGCGGCGACAGAAGCAGGAGCAGCAGTAGCAGCAACAGCAGCAGCAGAAGCACACCAGGCAGCCAGCAGCACTCAGGCAGCATGTGCATGCATTCAGAAGGACTGTGCTACCTGATAGAGAAAACATTATATTGGGGGGCCCCAGGGGCCCCAGAGACCCAATGGGGGCCCCACATGCTGCCAAGGTCGGACCACAGCGGCCGACAGGGCCGGGTGTAGAGTATACTGCTGCTGCTGCTTCCGCCGTCGCTACAGCAGCAGCTGATGCTGCTTCAACAGCTGCTACTGCTGCTGGTTACAGTGCTGCTGTTGTTGTTTCTGCGTGTTGCGCTGCTGATGCTGCCCCTTTGCCGTTTCGGCTGTTCTGCTGCTCTTGTAGGAGCCTAGTAGCTACAAGTAGCCGTTAGGTGCAATTCGGGGGTTTATATTTGCTACTGAACTGCAACAAATGCTCTTGGGTAGCAAGGAAGGTGTCGTTATCTGTTGTAGTCTGCAGCAACAAATGGAACTAGAAGGCGCTGTCTCATTTTGCTGCTGCTGCTACTACTACTATTGCTGCTGCTGTGATGTACCTAACTTCTGCTGCTCTGGTGCGGCCAGCTGCTGCATACTACTGTTGCAGCTGCAGGGAAGGAAAATCTGCTGCTTGTGGTAATCTTTTGTGGTCATGCATGCGCGCATGCATGCAGCAATTGGGTCTTTCCTACTCTTTCTCGACTGCTTCTGCTTCTTTGTGTGTTGCTAGTTTTCTGTTTGTTGTCTCCTTGTACTTTTCGATCTTTTGCTTGTGAGCTTCAACAGCCTAAACTCCTTTTACGTTAAAAGACAGGCAAATACAACAAACAACCAAGAGAGAAAAACAAACGAAACAAACAAGGAGAGGACACAATGAAGAAAACTAAGTTTTGTTGCTGCAAGATAATGCACCTGAGGGTTCAGCTAATTAGACTGATAGAGCACCTAAGGGTTCAGCTAATTAGACTGCTACGGCAAGGAAAGGAGGCAATAACGAGACAGCTACGTTATTTCAGGTGTCTCCTTAGCTCTCTGCTTGCAGCAGCAGCTTCTGCTGCTGCTGCCAACAGCAGCACCTCCAAGTACTGCTACAAAGAGAGGCAGTAGAAGCAGCGAGATCTGCTGCTGATCTCGCCAGAAGTGCTGCCGCTGCTGCTGCAGTTTCTGCTGCTGTCCATTCTTTCGCCGACCAGCATATAGAACAAAACACGTGAAAGAGTGCACTTTGTTTATTTGGATTAAATAAGAAGTAACAGGAAACGTTCTCGAATCCTCCTAATTAATCAAGACACGCGCTGACCCGGGATCGAACCAGGGACCTTTAGATCTTCAGTCTAACGCTCTCCCAACTGAGCTATCAGCGCATGCGGCGCGTCTCCTTTCTTTAAAGCAACAGGCACAAGCGAACAGCAACCAGCAGCAACAGCTGCAGGAACAGCAAAAGCAGTAAGGCTCAGAGGCGTGCCAAAGTGTGCATCTATTGAGGCTTTTGTTCACACACTCCATGCATGCATGGCTGCGAGCATGCATGTACGAGGTGGTGAGCCTTTTCAGGTCTACCTTTTAATGGGTATAGTTAGGGAGAGTCTGCAGGGAAGCACGTTGTGCTGTGGGACCTCTAACGCCCTTTGCTGTTCTCTCGTCCTCTGCTGCAGGACGGGTTGCCGCAGCACAGCAGCTCCACAGCTGCAGCGGAGAGCAGTGCAGCAGGCAGCAGCAACAGCAACAACCTCTTCTGAGGTCTTACTTTTAGAAGCATATTCAAGCAAAGAGAAGCAAAGAGTGCTGCCTAAAGACCGTGGTAAGGAAGATCTTCTATAGGAGCTGCTTGCTAGCTAGGAGACTCAGTCTGTACAATTCCCCTTTTGCTGGATTAATTTTAATTATTTTTAATTTAATTGAGGCTTGTACACAAACAAACTAAAGGCCATCCTTCAGATCGCCGTTCCTGCAAGTTGTGTTGCCCGTGCCCACCAGGTTGCTTACAGTTGCCCTTACGGCGCGTTGTGCCCGAACCCTATCATATGAGGAAATGTTGGCATTTTTTATAATTTAATGCATGAAATTAGTATTTGGAAATATAATTTTAGTTTAATTTTCAAATACTACAAGAACTCTCAAAGGAAAGTGAACAGCAGCTGCTGCGTGGGGCTGAGCTGGGGCTGCTGCTCGGAGCTTCCCCCCGCGACTGCCTGCAGCAGGGGGTGGTGCGCAGCAGCATCTTGCGGTGTTTTGCTAGCTCACACCCGTGTGGGAAGGCTGTCGTAAGTGACGCCTTCCGAACGTCCCTATGGGCCTAACCCTAAACAATAAACGCAGACATAGTCGCACGCCGACCGGCAGAGAATGACCCATGGTGGTGGTTGTGCTCTATGTATATGTATATGTGTGTAGATGTATGTATGTGGGTCTGTGTCGTGTTGGTTGTGCGGGGTGTATCTACACCTGAAGTCTGCGTAGTTGATAGTAGGCTTATGCCGAAGGCGGCGGGTTTTTCTATGGGTTAACACCGCAAAGAAACAAAACCCATAAAGCCCTGCTCGCGGGTGTATCTGCGGGGCTTTAGACGAGGCGTCCATCAGCCTGAGCAGCGACAGCAAAGCTCAGTGTCTGCGGGTTCGCTCCCGGCCTCTTACTAACTTCTAAACCCTTAAGAGACACGCGCTGGTGCGGGGTATTCATTGTCGTCTTCCTTTTCTTGGTTGTGTTTGTGTATTGGACTGTGGGAAGGGAGGAGGGGAGTGCCTTTCTATTGATATTATTCCTGTTGCCCATCGTTGTATTACTAGAGGGGGTTAGTGGAAATTTCTGGGAATGAGGTCTCCTTATGTTATGTTAGAGGGAACCACGGCAAAGTTATTTATTCGATTTGTGTTGCTTCAACTTATTTAGTCTTTGCTGCTTCTACTCGTCTAGTTATTGATGTCTTTACTTATTTATCCTTTGTTGCTTCAACTCATTTATTTCTCTGTTGCTCCCTTTTATTCAGGCCTGGTTGCTTCTCCTCTTTTAGCCATTGTTCCTTCTGTTTATTGGACATATTTCGCTTCCTTTCATTTAAGGTACCTTCTTTAGTGGAACTATTTCGTTGCTGTTTATTGCCTATATGTTTGTGCAAGTCTTCATCGTGAGGGAATGTTGGCGGTCTATGTCTGTCTAGTATAATGGCGTTCATCTGCAGCCGCATGTACACCTGGGGAAACTCCGCAGTTTAGGCTGTTGCATGCATGGCGCTTCGGTGCCAACAACTGCTAGTACGCAGGGCGAGGGCAGGAGCAGCGATAGCTGGTGCTCAGCCACTTCTGCTGTTGAGGGGTTAAGGGGTTGGTTTGTATTGATTGATTGCTTGATAGCTGCGTGTTACTTGTTCCTCGCTCTAACAATGCTTGGGGTGGCAGCAACGAAGACTGCATTCAAGGGACCGTTTTTTTCTCTGCTAGTGTATGGTATGCATTAAGTGTTCCCCTCACACGTCTGTATTGCATATATTGGATTCCCCAGTTCCTCTCTTTGTTTCGTTGTGCATGCATTTTTTTGTGTCCTTCATGTTCCTCATGCGGCATCAAGCTGTTGTAGCGTATATAAGAGCACACCTTCCTGGAATCTATAAGGTTACAGGGACTACGGTGTATATATAGCTTGCATGGGTGGATGCGTACATGCAACCATGCATGCATCTAACGTGTATATATGCAGCTGTCCCTGCGCGTATGTGTGTTCATATTTTCTCTTTACTGACACTATGAGCAACAGTAAGCTGAGGCCTGTCTCCAGTCGTACCTTCCGGGGTTTTGCGTGAAGTTATACTTAAGATGCGACTCAAGGGCTGCGCACTAAGGTGAAAATTAATTTAGAAATACATTTTCCTTTTAATTTGAATAAATCTTCTAAAAACTGCAGCATACATGGGCTGTCCCTACAGTGCGGACGGCGGCAGCGGGTGTTGGTTGGTGGTGCTTCTAGGGGGGAAAACTGTCCATGATTGTTCCCTTTTACATGATTTTATTTGTAGTCCAAGCAAGAGAAGTTCATTAGATTTGATTTAAAGTCCCAAAGAGAAAAATCGGAAAATGACCTTTAGTGGTCAGCCGGCGGCCTTGCCGATGGTTCGATGGCCGCAGCGTGCGCTGCAGCGAGGTTTTCTTTGTTGTGGTGCATGCACGTGTTTTCGTGTTGTATTTCTTCCTTTGTCTTAAAAGTAATATACTATTTGAGGTCGGAAAACTTGTTTTTACTTAGAGTCGCCGTGCAACAGCACAAGCACGTGCAGACGGTTCCCATCGGGATGTGTGAAGGTTGCCTGCTGCGACTTTTCATCTTCGCTACTTTATTCTTCTTCTGATGTTTTATTTTATTTGACCTCAATTTAACTCACTTGATCTCTTTTTTGCCCCAAAGCTCCCTTGCATCGCTCAGAGGTTGCACCGACCCACTGCTCAGGCCAGTGCAGCAGCGGCTCACGGGGTGTCTGCAACACTCAAGCCCGTAGCAGCGCATGCAGCAACTTTCCCTCCTTTCTTCTATCAGCAGGAAGCCTGTCTGTATATCCTTCTCTGCTGCCTTTAACCTTAAGGCCCCAACACCCGTCACAACAACCCCCCCCTCGCCCTGCCCCCGTCGACATCCGATACAAACCGCTGCTCCTGCATGCACGCACTTAAGACAACAAAAAATGATTATAAGCACCGGTCCACCATGAAGACTCACGCCTACGACCGACACCCTGCGGTGCCGCCTGCGGAGCAGCGGCCGCATCCTCAAGTCCTAGAAACAAGTGACTCCTTCTTTAGCTCCTAAAACAGAGTAGAAAGGACTTTATAGAAGTGTTCTTCCTATTTGGAGTTATCTGCAGCTGAATAGTTATTCTTCTTGAGCATGAACTCGGCAGCGTCTGTGCAGTTGTCAGGGGAACCGCATTTATGAGGTGTACTGGGCAGCCGCGTACGTGCTTGTTTGCTGCTGCAGTGCTAGATGAATTGGAGGATAAAGTCCGCCATTACTTCTTGTTATACATGAAGGAGAAGCAAAAAAGACAAAAGGCTGAGAAATTCTCCTACTGGCTGCAGCGAGGTGCCTATACTCATGGTGTTGCTGCTTTGCTGGTGGTGGTGCTGTTGTTGGTGTGCCGCTGGTTTCGCTGTTGCTCTTGTTGCGTATGCCCCTGCTGATCATGGTACTACTACTACTGCTGCTGCTCTTGCTTGTCCCCTTGTTGCTGCTGCCTATGGTATTCCTATGTTGCTTATGGTATTCCTGCTGTCGCCGTTGCTGTCGTTGTGGCTGTTGCTGCTGCTGTCGCTACTACTTCCGCCGTTGCGGTTGTTGTTATCGTAGCTGCTGTTGTTGTTGCTGTTGTTGCTTCTGCCGTGGTTGGCGTTGCTGCTGCTGCTGCAGTTGTTGCTTGTGGTGGAGTCTGTCTGTGTCCGTCTAGTATCTATCTTTAGTTTGTCCGAGTGTCTCTGTAGCTGTCCGCAACACCAACTGACCATTGGTGTTGCAATGGAGTGTACGCACACTGCGCAGAGGTGGCAGACAGCCGGCAGCAGCTTGAAGATAGCCGCAGTGCTGCAGCTGCATTAGAGGCGAAGCTGCTGGAGATAAGAGGGGATCCCGATGCTGTGAGGGACACTGTGCAGCGGGTCGACCTTATGTATGCACAAATCGATACTCTCGTTCAAGCATTTGCAGGTAACCTCGCCTGCTGCTGCTGCTGCTACTAATGCTGTTCCTATTGCTATTGCGTCCACGGTGGCTGCTGGTGGTGCTGTTGCTATTGCTGCTGTGGCTGCAAACAGATGGTCGCGCTTTGTGGACGCGCGTGCTTCGGTGCGAAGGCAGCAGCAGCGATGGCAGCACAAGCAGCAGCAACAGGAATACCAACTGGCTCTCTGTATTGCTTCCACCTGCATCAGTTTGGGGTTGTTTGCTGGGGAATGTTAGCTGGCGATATGCTGCATGCGGTTTGCTGCTGCATGCATTTTGCTGTTGCAGGTGTCTGCAGCTTCGTAGCGACGCAAGAGGCAGACAAGGCGACGGTGCTGCAGTGTGTATTGGAGTACTTATATCCATGCAGAGCTCTTGACCCGCGTCTCGGCTGTAAGGCTCTGTTGCTGCTGCTGTTCTGCCGTTCCTGCTGTTGCTGCCGGTGCTGTTGTTGCTGTCTTTGTTGCATGACGGGAGCCAGGTTTTCTGTGGGCTGTTTATGAGGAGAGAGCGAATGGAGTGCCAGATATTTGCTACTTTCGACTGCTGCGAGCGCTGCGGTTGCTGCTGTTGCTTGCATGCGCAGCGCTTTACGGGGCATTGTACTACTACCGCTTGGGGGAGCGCAAGGGCCTGCCGCAGCAGCCACCGCCTCCTCCCGAGCCAAAGTTTATGCCTGTGTACGAGGTAATGGGGCCTTGGATCCAACCGTCTCCATTCACTGCAACCCCAGCTCCCCCCTTACATGCAACGAAGTTCGATGCTGCCTTAGCTGCTACCCTTGAAGCAGCCAAAGCACAAGAGGTCGCCCAGGAAGACCCGCAGCGGCAGCCCAAAAAGGCAGCAGCTTCGCCGCTTAGTAGAGCCAAGGAAGCTCAGACAATCGCAACTACCAGTAAGGCGCAAGACTGCAGTTGTCTCTGCTCCCTCTTCAGTGTCCTTTGTTACAACATGTCTATAGGAGTTGCTCCTGCAGTCTGTCGCGGGGCTGTTGCTTGGTGCCTTGTGTGTGTGCTGCAGCCAGCTCGGGAACAGCGGCAGCAGGAGCAGCTGGCTCGCGGGCGAAGGCTTCCTTGCCGCAGCAGGCGGCAGATGCTTCTGCCGATGTGGATTTGAAGGGATTTTCAGTTTTATTGGAGGAACTGAGCGGGTTTAAGCGGCCTTCGCTCTCTAAGGGCACGGGAGTAAAGCTTGTTGTACGGTGTGTATACATCACCTGCGGACAGTAGCATACTGCTGTTGTTGCTGCGATGCTTCCCTTTCCCGCTGCTGCTGGTTTCTGCTTACTGCTTTGCTGCCCTTCTTATTCTCCTTCCAAGGTTGCGTATCCTTTCTTGCTCCTGCGTCTACGGGCTTGTTTGCTGTACTCTCCTGCAGTTTTTGGTGTTTTGATTGGCCTGCACCTACCTGTGGCTCCCGCTCCGCACTGTGTCTAATCCCTCTTCCTGTATGCTAGCAGTGTCTATTCTCCTGGTGTTTGGTGTTATCTCGGGTCTATTGATTGTCTGTGTCTCGGTTTTGTCTGTGTTTTATCTTTGGGTTGTCTCTCTCTGCCGCTTTTGCATCGTGCTCTCCTTATAACGAGGCCCCTCCCTCTCTGCTGCTCTCGAGACCAAAAGCACAGCTGACGCACCAAGGAGTGGGCGATAGAGGAGGCGATGCAGATGGGAGATGCGCTGGTCCTGTCACTTTCCGTGTCTTCCTGTCTCTTTCTTCTGTGGCTTGTTGCTGTCTCTCCCACCGTGCCCTGTCCTGTCTCCACGGGATTGGGCTCCATGCCACTATCCGTCCCTCTCTCTGGCTCTGTGGTTGCAGCTTCGATCACGAGAGTTCTGTGGAGGCAAAAAGGAAGGCTGAGCGGTGTATTGTTATCGAAAAGGTACGGAGAGAAAAGCAAAAGCAACACACACATTGTCAATTCAACAAGCTTTACAGGCACCCGCTCATAAAGGCCTTCGGGTCCCAAGGGGGCGCGTAGCTCAAGAAGAGACTGCAGGCACACATAAGACCGCAGGGGTCCCACCGAAGGATTTGCTTCCAGGCCTTAAAGGTGTTTTTGTTCTGTCTGCTTGTTGGCTGTGTATGGCTGTGTGTTAGCTGGCTGAGTCTGCGTCGGTGCCTTTGTGTTTGTGCTTGTTTTATACTGTTCATGGGCATGTGTCGTCTCTATCTCTCGTTCTGTCTCTCTCCCTCTCTTTATGGGCTTGTGTTTGTTTTATTTTCTGTGTGTGGGTCTGTGTTGTCAGTCTACTCCGCTGGCTCTGTCTTTGTCGTCGTGTTTGTTTCTGTTTACTTGACTCTGTCATGTCTTTGTCTCTGTTTAAATGATTTTGTGTGAATATTGTGCCTCCTCAGTGCGATGGGAAGGCTGGAGACGAGAGTGCTTCTATCTACTTCTTAGCAGAGTTGTCTCCTTTGCCTCCTAAGAAGGCAGGCGTCGTGCCCAAGATCTGCATAGACATCTACGACAACAAATCGGTGCTTTAAGCTCACCCTTGGTGTCTTCTTTATTTTCCTTGCTTTCCCTCTGCTCTCTCTCTTCGCTGGATCATTATCATTGAAATAGACCCTTGCGAATGCTTGCCGAGGGGGCCGGACAGAACAGCAGAAGTGCTAGGCAGCTTTTAGAGCGCGGCATCTTGCCCTTTGGGTGTCTCTGTTAGTTGCTGCTCCGTCTGCTGTCAGACTATCAGCTGGCACCCCTCTGGGTGGAGGAGACATTCTCTTGTCAGCTACTTGTGTTCCGTTGAGGCTGTCCGGTGTATCCCGTTGTTGTTTGTGCTGTTTGCTGTCGCTGTCTCTGCATGCATTGCAGCCCACGGGGCTTGGCAGCGCTAACAAACTATTTACGGACCCAGATACGGTGAAGAAGGGAGCTGCATGGTGAGCTAGCTATCTACTAGCCAGCCAGCTAGCTGGCTGTGCAGCTGCGACCGTAGCCACAGGCGACGTCGATGCCGGGGCTTCCTCGGGTGTTCCCCTGTGGAGTTTAATTATATCTTTTGCCTCCTCGTTGCTTTCTGTTTCTGTAGGCAAATAAAGGACGCTAGGGGAACAATCCTGGGTAAGTTTTGCCTTGCCTAGCTGAGCTGTTGGCGTCTAGCTAGCTAGCAGGCTAGCTAGCGAGCTAGCAAGCTTTTTGGCTAGCTGGGTGGGACCCAGCTAGCCACGCTGCCTCTAGGGGAGGAGGGAATGGGTTGTAGGAACTCTGTTCTGCTGTCTGCTATATGCAGGTTCGATAACGGTGTCTATTGCGCCTTTGCCTCTGTAAGCCTCTGGGGGAAATAGAGTCGAACAGCCCTTCGTATGTGTGAGACAGAGCTATCTTTCAGTGATGCACTGCTACTTGGGTTATCTCTCTCTTGTTTGTCTCCTTGCATCTGTGCAGCAACGCATTGCTGCCAGCCCAGGCGAAGAGTGGCGGTGCCAAAGCCTTAGGGGGTGAGTATGCCGTATGCATTGGCTGCAAGTTCCGTTTTTATGATCGGATGGTCGGCATGCGCGCAAGCGTGCAAACTTTTGCTGCTTCTTTTGTCATGCCCTCCATCTGTGTCTTTCATGGAAAAGTTTCTTTTTGCATCAGCACAACTGCCTACTGTTTGAGGCCGCTGGAAGCCTTCCTCTTTCTGTCGAACTGCCTAGTACAACTGTCGAACCATCCACTTCGCTGCATGCAGCTCCACACGTTTCTGCTCTTGCTTTTTAACTCCTTCACAACATAATTTAGTTTTTTGGTTATGGGGATTGCCAGTCGTACGTTCACGTACATCTATGTTCGTTGCGCGCATATATATATATATATATTAT